GGTCGAGTTTACAATGCTGCGGTGCGCTCCATATTACTATATGGATCAGAAACCTGGCCGCTGCGCGCCGAGGACGTCAAAAGACTTTCAGTGTTTGACCATCGATGTCTTCGGAGCATTGCCCGAATCTGGTGGGAACACCGGATCAGCAATTCTGAAGTACGTCGAATGGTATTCGGGAGAAATAACTCACCTCGATAGATGAATTGATCACACTGCACAGGTTGCGCTGGCTTGGCCACGTGTTGCGTATGCCAGTCGACCGACTTCCTCGAAGGGCTCTTTTCGCCCAACCATGTGAAGGGTGGAAGAGAGCCAGAGGCGGTCAAACAATGACTTGGCAGCGAAGCCATTACCAGCAAACTCAGCTGCGCTGGTAATTGCGGTCTTCCTGGATGAGGACCCCGAGACGGGCCACATCAATGGCTGGAGACATTGTCAGACATGGCCCAGTCGCGCCCTCAATGGCGCTCGTGCATCAAAGCTATTGCCTTCAATGTATAGCTTCTTTTCCAACCATCCTTCACTTGACAGCCCACTGACAGTGCTGGATTTATGCACCAATTTACGAGCTCGCACGTGTAATGCGCAGCTACCTACCCCCCTCCCAAATCATCGGTGAACGAAACTGCGGCAGCTTCAACCAGTGTACGACGAGTGCGCGGCTCTTACAGCTGACAATGATGATGATGATGATGATGATGATGATGATGATGATGATGATGGTAGGTATAAGAAAAAAATTCTACCAGAGCTGAACGGTGGTTTATACGTTTCGCAAGAAAGCAGTTCATGGTTCCAGCGGACAGCTATCACCTTGATGATGATGATGATGATGATGAATGGTATAAGAAAAAAATTCTACCAGAGCTGAACGGTGGTTTATACGTTTCGCAAGAAAGCAGTTCATGGTTCCAGCGGACAGCGTGCTATCACCTTCTATCCGAACAGGCCAGTTGAGGTTAGCCTGCCGTTGTGCGCCGATGAGGTCTTAATCCGACTTGTGTGTTTATTCGAATATTGTCCGAATATCATGTCCCTAGTCCTTGGCCTTTTCGTACTCTGTCCCTGCGCCTCCCCATTATTCTAACCCCTCCTTCTTTACGAAATTACGGCAACTAAGTATCTGCCACTGGTGTACTGCTGTCTATGGCGATGCTTATGATATCCCGGCTGAGCACGGATGGGAGAATGAGCACACTAATTTTCTGAGTGCATAGAACTTTGAGAGTAGGCAGAAAATGTTCAGTGCATTCAGCGCCACATCGAAGTAAAAGCATCAGAAAGGGTCCTATCGTACTTACACCTCTTCTGATAATCCTGTGGTTCTCTGCCAAAACTCTGGTGAATTCCTGAACTGGTAGGTGTAGATACAGAGCAAAATGGCCATGGAATAGACAACGTTGATCCACCAGAAGAAGATCATTTGCCGACGCCAGAAACCGTAGCTAACCTGAAAATGAATATTGAAGGCATAATGAGACAATACTGAAAAAAAACTGAGCAAAAGGTAAAAATCCCGTGTATTAGGTGATGATCACTAACTGGATAGGCAGTATAAATAAACACGATCGCTCCCGCAACGATCATCAGCGAAAAATATACCCTGACTGACTGCTTATGACGGGATTAAAGTTAGATGATGCACCAAACTGGAGCATATTATTGCACATTTACTCTTGATACACTGGTTGCTGAAATCGGAAACCATGAACTGTATCTTTGAGAACGCCTATCGTCCGATTTTCTTTCTATGCGAAGATGTGGCTGATCGGTGGTGGCGCGAAGGTGGCTCAACGCCGGCGCTACCATCAGTGATGGGTCGTGATGGAAGAAGAGATGACAATGGACCTATGACGATGACAGATGATGACGATAAGGGCGGCGGATGCTCCCTGGATGATGATTGCGAATAGTGATGGATGATGAGGAAGAATGATAGATAGCGATGGAAGTCCAATGGGTGATGAATGAAGACAATCGATAATGGTGACGGATGACTGCGGGTGACGGTGATGAACGATGGCAAGTGGTGATGGAGGATGGTGGATGACGGATCGACCATGGGGTGCGATAGTAAATTATGACGAATGACAGTGGATGACGATTGACAGATGATGGTGGATGGTCAGGGGTGATAATGATGACGTGCATAATGCAGAACGATAATGAATGATAGTAGCTAATGGTGGATGACGACGGATGATGAAGACTGGTAGTCACGGGTAATGGACAATGGCAACAATGAAGACTATGAGGATAGTGACGATTACAGTGAAGATGATGACGTGAATGACGCTAACAGTGGTGGATCGGAATCTGCCAATGATGATGGTATGATTTTGACGTCACGACTTCCAATGAATTAATCGGTGGTTTGTACGACGGGGAAAACTGGTGTTCCTGTCAGCAATGTTGACAGAAGCTAAGGTATAACCCATAGCCTCCAGTTCCGTTTAGACGGTTATTGTCAACCAAGCCGGGAACGTTCACTTGCACGAGGTTATTTATGCAAGCCCTATCCTCGTCAGTATCTGAGACTATTGTCAGAAAAACCTGCTGCATACGATGTGCAGCGTGCCGTAAATTTCTTCTCAAAAAAGTTAGAGACAGCATAGAGAACCTACAGGTGAATAAAGCCCTAATGGAGGGCAGCGACGAGTACTGCAAAAAACATTCTGATGAATGACGGAGTTGCGAGCCAAAGAAAGGGCACCATAAGTGCACAAAAAGCGCAGCATCTGTTGCGCAGATAATATGGCATCAACAAAACATAAGAGAAGCCAACCAGGGGTTGCAAGGTTGATAACTGTGTCTTGGATTTAGCCTGGAAGACCACACACAACTTACCTGAAAGAAAAACATGAAGTAGATCAACATGACCATGTAAAATATTCGGAAGATGACGACCGGTTGTTGGATGGAAATCAACAGCATACTCAGGCAACAAACAACAATCCAATATTTGACGCAAAGAGCACGAAGTAGTTCGGCTAGATTAGGTAAGAAAGAAAAAGAGATTTTAAATACAGGGAAATTCGCTGAGTCACAATACACTAGGTCTTCAATGCGTCTCAATTGAGGAATTCATTGGTAGCGAATAACGAGTGGTAACGAATAACAAGTGGTGTTCAGATTGGAATGAAGAATGGAGAAGCAGACGTCCAGGCAGTGTGAAAGGTCATACCCACCTTCATATGATTGCTCATGTAATGCTACTGAAACAGTGTACAGTACGATACACCTGCGTTTTCTAAGCACGATGCCTGAGGCGAGAAGACAAAATCATAGGTTCTACGACTAGGCCTCAGTGAATGAATACTGCTAAAACCTGAATAATTCACTTCACACGAGTCAAGATGGCAATGACCAGTGTGGCCGAAATCAGACAGAGATCACTAAACCAGTTTCATGAGAAAATAGCGAGTATAGGGACAGCGGAAAAAACACCAAGTAACGTACTAAATCTCCGGTATGCCGTGTTGTCCACAGTACCGAACGCGAAGGTTGATCCAAACCAGGACCCAACACTGGTTGCCAAGTGCCGGCCCCAAATCGAGGTGCCACGCCCAATAAGATGTCCCACGGACGGGTATCCAGTGGGAGAACGTGTGGTGTAACGACGATATGAGCGCTCGTTCACGAATAGACGGAGAGTCAGCCAGAAGAAAACCAAGAAAGTTATCTAAAAAGAAAATAAGAGACGTGCTAAGACCTCTCTCAGTATGAACATGTTACACAACCAGCGTTCTATTCATCTTGGTGGCCCATCAACAAATGCGATAATGTAACATTAGTTGGGTGTAAAGTACCAAGCACCTTGAATTAATTCGTTCTAAACAGTCAACAGGTATACCTTGAGGGGATGGGTAAATAGATGTCTTTCTCAGTTACAACTGAATGGACTGAAAAAACCAAAGCAACAAAAGCTCATCCGTCAGTTAGTGCACAGGCAACAGCGGAGTACCGCAGGGACAATCAGAACACAACAGAACACAGTCAATCAAACGAGAAACAGATTTCAGGTACAGGAAACGGTCGTTACAGGACGTTACAGGACGTTACGCGACCTGTCCCAAACAAGGCGGTCAAGGACCACGTTGGATGGAAATGTACCAGCGGCACCTATGCATACTAGGAAAATTCGTCCACCTAACTAAACCTTTACCGAAAAACTCCGCTTGTATCCATTTGGCCAAGCAGAAGTTTTGAGTTGAAAAGTGGTCACGAAGACTCGAATTCAAGGCTATCAAAATCAAGGGGCTTCTGCTACAGAAACCGATGTAAAATCGATCAATCGACCGAACAACCGAATAAGCCAGCCCACAGGTCAGGACACATGGTGCCGAACGGTACCTTATGGTGCCTCCAAGTTCGGGATGGGATAAAATCACTCCACATGAGGAGACGACGACTTTCAAACGTATGAATACCAATGTTTTACTAGGCATGGTATATCCACTGAACTGGGGAAAAAAGCAGACCTAATCATCGAGGACGGGGTTAATAGGCACTAACGGATCTGTTGTATGAATTGGACAATAGCGGTATAATAGGAAAATTAGCATCCTCAACCCACGTTGCTTACCGCCTGATCGTGAAAAAGCCATACTTTTCAAAGATTATTGAGAAAATTCTCCGGTTTCATGAACCAAAAAAGTGGCTCATCTGGTATAACATATAAGTCTATACTCACATGCAACTGGAATCACATCCTGCTGCGAGTGAAACCTGACTAGCGTTTGATCAGCACTAGGCTTCGTGCAACACGGAGTCGCACTACGGGGGTCTAAACTTAAGTGCTCTCTAGCATTATTCTACTGTATTAACAGGTATTCACCGTAGATATGCTTGTGACGATAGCAACTGTCAACAATAGTCTGCCAAACCGAGCATTCAGGCAGTGTGCCTATCAATTGGAGCTTGACATACACACGGAGACTAATTTTTCAGTTGCCCGAAAAGTCACACTCTTGAGGAACGCTGCACCTGGGAAATCCTTTGATTCAACTTAGCTATAAACCGCGTACCTTAGGAACGTTGGTTCCAGCTACTACAGTTTCGATCACCAGGAAGCGGAAGAGTGGGAGAAATCGAGCCAAGCATTGGAGGCGATGGCATGTTCAGTTAGTTGGGGAACTGAGTAGCTACGCAGTGAAGGTGATAGCTTTGGTTCATAAGCGCCACTGGCTGCGCGATTGGGCCATTTGTGCGCGTGCGCAATCATAGTCCCTTGTTCCTAGTGAAGCCTTTCACATAGCGATAAGATCTGCTGATCTTGATGATGTCCAGTTTTCATTTAGTCGAGTTAGATGGCTTGGACAAACACTTTTGAAAGCTGAGAACGTAGCTTGTTTAACCCGCTTCCATTCGAACGCCAAGCAATCTTCGTTATCCGTATGACCATTCGTTTCCAACGGACTTCTAGCCAGAGCAGAAGGATACCTTCCAGTTACTGAAACTTGTCCCAGTTGATTATTGCAGCTGCTCTGCTTTGGCATGCGTAATGCTGACGGAAAGCGAAGTGGTAACTGGGCTTGCGCAAAGGGGCATAATCAGAGTCAAACTGAGTACCCCAGAAGGAACGACAATCTTTAATTGACCCTGTCCATCGGTAACATAGCCACACTATCCAATTGAGTCCACGGCTGTCTTGTGGTAGGCGGCCCCCAAGTAACTCGGTGTAAGCGCTTGTGTTGGAAGTTCCTAGTGGCCAGGAACGGAGGATGATCAGCACACAACTAAAGCAGTCGCTCCCCATTATCCGCACACTGAAAATCGACTTCAAATCCACCACCTGAATATGTTTCTTCCGGACTTAGTTGTCCAACTGGGACATTCATATCACCCATCAGGATTATTATATCTATCCTTCTTGCTGACCGAGGCAGCCGCAACAAGCCTTGATAAAACCTGTCCTTCTCATTTTCAGAATGGCAGTCTGTTGGGGAGTATGCCGATACGACAGATAGACACCGTTTACCGCATCGACCTGCAAAGATCTTAGCTGAGCCAACAACTGCACAGCACAAAGACGACTGTCCACTGGGATTCAGTCTAGCAAGACGCTTTCAGCTTTCAAGCTGAATGGAACCCCCACACCGCAGCTATCAGGGGCCATTGCGAAACACCGGATACCCGAGGAGCTCATCCTGAGCGCCTTGAGGTGCACGACCGAAAGTCTTGCATGCACACCGCAGCTATCAGGGGCCATTGCGAAACACCGGATACCCGAGGAGTTCATCCTGAGCGCCTTGAGGTGCACGACCGAAGTGAAGTCTTGCATGCGTTTTTAGGAGATACAACATGCATCGACAGACAAGGAAAGCAATATTTCAACAACAGATGGATGCTGCCCAATTTAACACAGAGCATGAACATCAAAGTCTGCAACGTGGATCAGATCTTTTCAGGTTAGTAAATGAAACTGTGAAACAGTCTCGGACCATGGGGATCCTGTTATTTCGGGTGAGACTGGACTGTAGGAAGACAACTGACCTGCAAGCCCAAGGCACCGACCGAATTCTCCCACTTTTTCATACCCAGTTCTTCCATTTCCAAGCCATCTGGAGTGACCTGTTGCGGAAGTTCAGCGGTTGTCAGATTCAAACCGTAGACATATTGAATGAGAATGAGTACGATTGCGTACAAGACAATCACTGGACTGGCATAGAGACACGCTGCCCTCGAGTTTGGACTGATCCACATGATGCACGCAGAGAGAAGGAGAATGAAGGACAACCAACTTCGGTAGGTTACAGCCCAAGCCTAGAAAATGTAAAAATAGAAGACAAAGTGAGATTCAGTGACCAGGTCAAAACAGCTAAGAAGAACGGCGCGTTTCAGACTTACATACGTATCAGAGTAACCCGACAACCAGTTATGGGTTTTACTGGACTATGACTGATGTTCAAGAACTACACACGTTTCTTAGCAATGAAAAGTTGAGATTCACAATTTTCATAGTTAGTTTGGCAAAATCCGTGAGGGAAAAATGAATAATAAAGGAGCCCTCCGATAAGTATTACAGTACCCCACGCAATAAATACCGCGGTTCAAAGTCTTGTGTGCTCTTCGTAAAAGGATAGTAAATACGGCAGTAAACAGACACCACCCTGTTGACATTAAAAACTATTTATTACAAAATCCCTCTGAGACGAAATACTCAAGTGGCTATTCAAAACAACACCCTCGAGAGAGATTGCTGTTTTTCTCTGTATCTACCCACATCGCTCTGTCATGGAAATCAATGCACGGGGGAGACCAGCTGTCAATAACATGATAATGTCCGTGTTCACTCGATTCGAGGCAGTTCAGTTGTTAACGAGCAAAGCTATCGGTCAGAAAATTCATGGTTCGCACCCAGCCTTGGCTTCCCGATAGCTGCTGTCTAGGACAAGGCAACCGAGCAATATTTGAATCCTTGGAGTTGTATGTCAGTTATGCAGTGAAAAGATGCCACAGCCGAACGACTTTTTACCATTACTTAGTCTGAGTGCAACATTGTTCTTCAGATCTAGTGGGCAAACTCTGGAGCTGACGTGACTGTTAGCACTGTCCCTATTGTTGTGGCGGAAACCAACTGTAAGGTGATGAAAACATCATTGTTATACCATAATGACCCGTTGGTTAAGGAGCCCTCCAAAACTTGATAAATGTGACGGAAATGCGTAAAACCAGTCGCCTGTATCTCGAATTTGATAGTGCCAGGACGAACACGCCACTTAAGCTTACCTACCTCGGGGCATATTCTTATGGCATCCTAACAAACGTTAAAGGTCTACATACTAGCATATACATGTGCTCACATAACCCACAAAACACACCAACTAATGTTTACGAATGGCATTAAAATTGCCCGACCAAAGCTAGGACAAACTGAACGAAATTCTAACCCTAATAAGGTAAGGCCGATGAATACCTACAAGGAGAACGGCTCTGCTCCGCCAAGCCTAGACAGGGGAAGTCCAGTGGCGGAGGTCAAATTCGAACCACGGACCTCCCGGTCAGTAAATTCGCGCTCTAACCACTTCCGCGTTATCTATCCCCCAACGTAAGCTTCAGGCAGTGGTAGATCGGCACTGCGTCTAACGAAAGCGTTTACGGTATCCTAAAGCGATAGTGCAAAGTAGATTTTATCAGCCTTGAGGTATCTTGTCTGTTGCAGCAGAACTAAGAAAACAATAATCCTGTTGAAGGAGTTTGCTGTATTAGGTACCCCTTATTCACCTCCACTAAAAACTTGTAGCAACGCTTACTGCTTATCGAATTCCAAAGTTACGGTCCGCAATCGGCGCACAAGTCACGCAACTGAGATACTGTGTGTACCCAGCACCAGTGGCTTCGCCATGAACTGAGCACTTGGAATAGTCTACTGAGACGGGTGTTTGTCTCCGTTCCTCCTTCACAATGGCGCGAACCGCGATGTGAACGTGTGACCTGACAAAGGGGTGATATTGGTGTAGTCCGACTTCCAGAACAAAGTCCCGTGACCGTTCTCATGCTTGGCTGGTGGTGTTGAAAGAAATGGTGGCGAACTGATGTCAGTTTTCTTCCAGACAGTTCAATTGAGTGTTTGGAGGTGGAGGCACTTGAACTCCCATCACCTCGCTTCCTCAACCAGTCTCTACTCTTCTCACCGTGAGCTTCAGGTATAATCAGATAAACCTTGTGGTTGTACGACGGCGAAACATCAGTATCAACATTGATGTTTCGTCCCCTAATGATGATGTGCGACCGAAATAATTATACGGTTGTAGTACTCTTGCTGTAACTCTTGCCATGCCGGGCTGAGACCTAGACGGGAGCAGTCAAGATGGTGAGGTTGGGTTCGAACCACAGACTTTCCGGTCAGTAATTTCGCGCATTAATCGCTGAGCTATCTCGAATGCAAACAAAAAGATATGGTAGGTTAAAATACGGACCTTCCTCACAAACACTAACGCCTTATCCTTGAATTCAATTCAAGAAAAGTGTTCAAAATTATGGCAGTGACTATCACAAAATCAAACATACCATCATAGCTATCAACGTAACAATGTAACTATGTCGAATTGCTGAGAAGTGCAAACTGAGAAGTAGAGGACGTTCTGCTCTCATGTTGTTGTTACCCCCATCTATGCCCATTCCGTAAGGATTCAGAACAAACGGTGGCGTGAGGCTGAAAAGTACGTCCAAATGTGGCTGGATTCGATCGGTAACTCGGTCCGTTAGTTTGGCGTGAAAACGAGGAAACTTGCGAGTGTTCGAATCTGGTTCAGGTTGTAAGTTATGAGCTGGCGTTTCCGGGACTGGCGGATTTGCGCAATGTGATTGACCGAGGTCTGGTAAAGCGATGTCGTCTGGTGTTCGGTCGATTGCAGTGGAGTTGTTATTGATGAGGATTCTGTCGACATCGCTATGAGGAGACTGAGGACTGGGGGAAGGCGCAGCATTGGTACTTTCGATTGTGTGGACGTCCGGAGAGATCTGCGCAGTCTCATTCGCCAACGAAACTGAGGGTGTCTTGGTGTTGATTTTTACGGTGTTCGTTGACTCTGAAGAAGCAGCCACTTCGTCCAAGGGCAACAGGTTTGCGTATTCCAAAGGGTGACCTGTCTGAAAGGATTTTGAACACATAAGCTTGTCAGGTGCGATAAAATTAATGAATTCACTTAAATAACCACATGAGAAAAAACAACCTGTCCAAATTTGTGACAAAAAGTTCCATAATATGCAAAAAGAAAGGAGGAAACCTGAGACTAAATAATGCGAAATCAAAAAAGGACGCTCTCTTCAGCACGGATGGAGCACGGGCAATACACCTCATTAGTGCGCTATCACATTCAATATCACTCTCTGAACGTTCGTCAGATAGACGGCAAAGAAAGATGCTATTCGAGATCCCCACCAGTAGCACAGATGGTTCGAATCCCAGTGGAAGAGCAAACTGCAACGTACATCCTATCATCCAACCGACAAATGCGCTCGATAGATGTTGTTCCATTTCATCCACCGGTTTCTAGAACGGGTCAGAAGATTAGAACGCCGACTGGACTCGTTTCAGAGACTAGTCCCTGTTATTTGTTTCGCTATCGGAAGCTGCGAAAAATTCAAGTAGTATAAATTCAAGAAGTACACCAAGCTCAATCAAGAATACGTTGTTCGAATCTTCTAATGTTCAAACCAGATCGCACGTTCCGAAAGTTCAACAGCGTGTTATTTCACTCACTCAAAAGTCAAGGCTTGTATTCCAGGTTAGTTCAACCTCACCAAAGCTCAGCTGTGGTCCTTTTGGGTTAATACTGACATTTGGTGAAAAATCATTTCAGCGTGAAATTCAGAAGCGCGTAAGATATGAATTAACCAGGCCACAGAAGTAAAGCTAGCTATTCGACTACAGTTTAAGCAACACACTGGGAACTATATCAGAGCATATCCGTTAACTCGTCCACGGAGTGTTAGTCCTGTGATGCCCAATGATGTGCTGAGCAATGGTTAATCGTTTCAGTCCGCTCGAGGCGTACTCAATCTAAAGCAATCGCTCTGACATCCTTTGGGTGCCTAGCTGTCATGCTAAAAGACAGGTGGCAGGAGGACTGAGATACCGTTAGCACGCTCAGACCTAGACAGGGGTCGTCATGATGCCGAGTTTGGACTTTCCGGTCACTAAGTTCGCGCCTCAACCGCTGTACTGTTACGAACACCTGATGGAAACAGGGGGAAACAACTTTGAGGACGCACCATCAACGTGTGCGCCTTTCCGTGGTGAATCTGGGTTAACAGACCTTGATACGACAAACAGGATAACGGAGAATTACATCATGAAATTAGGAGGTCCACCACAAAACTGACCAACCAGGATCAAGTGAAACTGTCTATCGTGATGTCACTGTCATGACACTAAAACTGACTCGGCCATCATAGTGGCTGCCGAAGTGAAAGATGCGGTAGGCTGGAGTGTGTGATCCATTTGAATTATTGACCAGGTTACGCGCAGTAAACTTCGTGAGATGAAATGAGACTACTCCAACACCGCATCCTCCCTGTGAAAAGCTCTTAATTTTTTACGGACATGTTCCCTACTATAGTACTGACAACTGCGGTCCACTTGAAAGGCCTAAACTTCACACGGTCACAATAAAACGTTTATCAGTATCAGAGATGCACGGAGGAGTAAAACCTCAGTTACGACTCACCTCCTCCACAACAGCATGTGATGTCCGAACAGGTGTATTGGCATTTCGGACGTTGTGCTGAATTAGGATAAAAAGTGAAAAAGATAGTAATTCAAGAATTAAGATTGATAAAAAGCTTGAACACTGGCATATCGAGTGAATTAGAACATTCGATACGTGAGATCAGTGCCAAAATGGAAAAGAAATTTATTGGACAGGGAAATTTTAAAGTGTGGAGTCTGAGTGAAGCACCTGTCCACTAAAAGAAGACTCTCAAGATCGAGACACTCTTTGGTTGGTAATTGATCAGATGGCTGTTGATCTGTTCGCCGAGCTTGGCAATTGGTTTGCAAACGTCTCGTCACCATTCGAGGAGACATCTTCAGTGCGCTGTTGGTTGCACCAATACACCCGAGCTACCAATATTCCAACACATTACACTCTTTGGTCTACAGCAATTCTCTTATATGCAAACACCTAACTATGGAAACGTTGCGGGTGAACCCTGAGGACGAAACACTCAAGGGACGTACCAAATGAATATTGACTACGTTTGAAGAGTGCCTTGTCACAAGCAAACTGAGCTGTGAACCAGTATTTAAATAACTATAATTAACAATCACCCGGGGGTTGCACTTGAGTGTTTCAATGATTCCGCGAGCTACAACGGCTGGAGTTCCGTTCCACAAGGTGCAACCATGCTAGGAAGGCCAATGGGGCAATTAGCCAAGAGCAGCGAAGCCCTGTACTAGAAATAATCTCGCCACCAGGCGGTCGTACTGTCCTCTGCGATAGGAGTGTGAAGGCAGTAAGGTGTTTCCTCCAGGCGATCGGCATGTCCATATTTATGGAAGCAGCGATGCTGCCTTCCCCCGAGGAAGGACGGACTAAAAAAAAAGTCGACCCAAAAAACCGCACACTCCGATCGCCCAATGGTTGACTGTGATAACCGGCGCACTATTTAAAACGGTAGAAATACATTTAAAATCAGAGTCAGGTGCTGCTAAAAAGGACACCTGATGCCCGCAGCCACTTCGGGAGTGAGATAGTAATGCCTTACTCCCTGCGCCATCGGGTGAGGCCAACCCTCTGCAGCCGATCAGGTCGGACTACTGAATCATCGGCTCCAGGCAAGGTTTCGAAAGAGAGCTCTATTGTCTACCGCCTTGCGGGTCAGACTTTTGGGGTAGGATCACCGAACAAAACCCTACATAATTCTGCTGCTTTGTGGGTTAGAGTCTTAAGTCAAAGGCTCCGTCTACTAAACTTTCTTTTGGTACTTTTGCACGGCTATGTACTTTTTCATATCGGCCATTTGGCTCCTCATTGTTCAAAGCAAAATATGGTGCTATGCAGTCATTCCAATGCGAATGAGGAACTTACAAACAGTGTTGATCTCTTATTGGAGCTTTCCAACCAACGCCAAGTTTCGAAAGCTAGTACGTAGTACAGGAAAATTGTGAGCGGCGGCGCGATGAAATCCACTATACGGACATCAACTGGGAAAAGAATCTCTCCCGGTTTGTCACAAGTGGTTTGCATGATATAGTACAAGCCAAGTAACCTGAAATGGACGTAAACATCCCGGAAGTTAGCACACGAATATCAGATTTTTTACACAAAAGCTGTTCATGTAGAACATACTAAACCTATTAAAGACGAGGATGCTAGGCTAGAATAGTAAAGTGCTTAGAAAACAGAATCGCAATTTACTCACCTTGCAGTGAATCCGTTAGCAGGACAAATGGATTGAAAAAATGGAAATTGGTAGAGGTAGTATAGACATACGTGCAGTCCGCTGTACACAAGCAAGAAGATACGCAAGCAGGCAAATGGCACAGGGTTCATCCCACTTCGGCACGCCCAATAGGTTCCTATTCCCAGAAAGGACAATAAGTAGATGGCTGACGGAACAGAGGGAGAAGTTATCCCCGTAACACAGACCAGAAGAACACTGAGAAGAACACAAAAGTTATCTACAGCCCAGGCACGCCACAATTTTCTTCTGTTTTCATCCCATGCACGAGGAAATGGTAGAGCGGCCATACTCGATGTGAGCTTTCCGAAAAGAGGGTTGGCGGAACTTGAGTTGTTGGCCACCACTGGAGGTGAGCCGTACGGCGCCAGTGTGCGTTCACTTATGTCCCTAGGTGCAAGGGAATAATCTTGTCCGGAAGCAGCTACGTTTCTCGCAACCGAAGCCTGTCTCCTTGGTCCTCCATGACCACGTCGACTCACATACACTAGCAGTCCAACCGCAACGGCCAAAATAAAGATATCCGGAAGAACCAGGCGCATTGCGCGGTAGGGCAAGACTCCGTTAAGTCTAGAAAGGATAGAAAAACAAAAGATAACCTACCGTTGCACGCCGATCTGAGCCGCAATCGTTGATTCTTCACCTACATGCAAATGTATATGAATCCATTAATTGTACGAGGACCTACAAGTCTTGAGCGCATCATCGTACGGTGGCGCCACAGCCAAGATTATATGCAACGTGGGATGTGACAACGTAAAAACACAGCTCAACGTTACAAGCAGTGTCAGAAATACTTGAATTTTCGCTAAAAAAACATATTACGCGTCGGTAAAGGCACATACTTTTCGAGTTACTGGAACTTGGTTGTGGTAGTAGTGGACATGCGAGTAAAAATAGCAAATACGCAAAAGAAAATCCATTGTATCGCACAACCGTGACTGAAAAATTATTACGACAAGTGAGTTACCTAAGAATAAGGCGGTGACGAGGACCACTCTCAAAAGAACCGTATCCAAGCTAGCCATTTGACTAGGTCATCCTAATTCGGCAGCGGACCCAGCTGAAAAACAGGAGATATCCTTTTCTATTGGTTCCTGTTCTTGGCGCTATCAGTGGTGACCTTGGGGTGGCCTACTGTTCACGGATTCACGGATTGATACACAGGATCGAGGCTTTTGCCCAAGTTTCCCGGGTCGGTTTTGTTCTTGTCGGTCAGTGGCTGT